GGCTTCGATTCCCTTCCACAAATCCCATGCAGTCGGATATTCGATGTATTGATTTACAATATCCGACTCTATGTTTTCTAGTATCCAAGTAATCACTGTTGAATCTGTTTGCCTCCACTTGATATATTTGGGATCATCAGTTTTGAGAGGTGCGGCAGTGATGTGCTTGAGCCGCCCTCTCCCGTCCAGAGCTAAGCTCATCTTGCGCGCCCAAATGGCGTAGTTCTTATCGTTGAGCTTTTCCGCCAAATTTAACTGTTGATTTGAGGAGCTCTCGGTAAGTTCGGCCTTGGGTGCTAAATTTTGGAAATTTTGCAGAATTTCCAAAATTTGTGCAAGATTCACAGGCTGCTTCATTGGGTCAGACTCCCCTGTGTAGGTGGAGCTCTCTGGAGTTTGTTCAGACATTTTTTATATTTTTTTTTTATGGTAGATGATGAAAGCTGCGTTTCATTCAATCGTTTGATCGAATGATTGCTCTGATACCATATTAGAAGTAATGATAGAATGAATTCACAGCTCAAATATTCATCTTATTGAATACATCTCTAATGATGTCTATAAATATTACAAAGTTACTAATGGAGACAATCAAAGAAAGTGAGTGGAAGTTAATCAAATATCTTGATTGGTAATTTGATTCCAATCAAGGATATCATCAAGATATTACACTATTCCACACTATTCTTCTTTTTGTTTGATATTTCTAACACTTCGTACGTATTAAGGTTGGAAAATAAAGCGGCGAAAAGGGAGAGTAGAGAGAGAAATACCTGGATGTGATGGCGAGAGTGGAGTCCGTCTGGAGAGTGGAGATTGTTGGAAGAAGATGATGGAGAAGAAGATTGGAGAGGAAGAGAATCAAATCGGGGACGGCGAGTGGCCTCCGTTGCGTAACTGTTGTCCAAAATCCAAATGACCATGCCAAAAATTGTACTGTACTCCGTAGTTATACACAAACATTTTAATGGTTTATATCGATATAAGTGTTGGTGTGTTAGCAAAAATTTACACGGACACAAAGTGTTGGTGCATTAATAAAAATTAGTTTTACACAAACATAAAATGTTGGTGCTAACCCGCAGGGTACAAAGTAGGGTACAAAAACTTGAGATACAAATAAGTTTATCCTACATTGAATTATCCCATTTATCCGTAGGATATGTTTGTCTGTTTTTGAAATATTAGTAACATCTATCAGAGAACATTCAAAATTCTTCATTTTTATCAGTTTTTGCCTAAAGTTTTTTTTGTTGTCGCAAAGATTTTGGTTTGCTAGTTTGAAAAAAATGAACATTTTCTGTTCAAATTACAGAGAAATAAAAAACTGTTTTCATCTTCCTCTAAAATTAGGGGTGAGCAATTTAACTGAACCGACCGATTAACCGATACAATTCTACCGAATCGATCGCAATTATAAATTTGGTTTCATTTTTCGGTTTTAATGTCTAAAATATTCGGTTAATTTGGTCATTGGTTTCGATTCTGGGCAATATTAATCAAAACCGACCGAATTACCGAGCCATGTATATCAAATACGGCGTATATGTAAGCCCAGTCCAAATCTTTTGAGTTATAGCCTACTTACAAAAACCCAATTCTCAATTTTGTTGTCTTCATGTCTCCCAAAGTCCCAAGTCCCAATTAGACATTTGGGCAATGAGCCATGCAAGGGGTACACCATCCCATTTGTCCCTCCACTTCTTTCTCTACCACTTATTTTAATCTCATTTTTATTTATTTAATTTTGTTTTAATTTTTTACCATTTTTGTGGTAATGGAAGGGGTGTGGGACAATTGGGGTATCGGTGTACCCTGGCATTATTTTTCTTGGGCAATTCCCAAGTCGCAAGTCCCGTCTCTCAAGTCGGCAACGACCGCAAGTCCCAATTCCCAAATTTTGCCGGGTCGCTCTCGCCGTCTCGCGCCTCCTGTCTCAGGTGTCACTCTCGCGTTGTCCGCCACTCCGCCGTCCCCTTAGCTTGACTCCATCAACGCCAGATCTACCTCACGGTCCTCACCATCTCCGTTCCGGCGTTCCCAAATCGACGCCAGATTTACCAGGTTTGTTCATCCTTTTTTTTGCTGCTAATTATTATTGTTTTAGATGCATTACTCCCAGTTCTGTTTTTTTCAAATTTCTTTGTTAAATTAAGCATTACTCCCACCCAAAATCATTCTTTTTCCGTTAAAAAACTTTCGACCAGATGCTCTACATGTCGAGTCCCTCCAATTTTTCCTTTCTTTCATTCCACTTTAATTTTCTTATATCTTAGTCTTTGGTTCTTTATGTAGACGGATTAGCTTTCAAGGTGCTTGAAACAATGTTTTAGTTATGTGCACATAGTTATATGCCTTGAATGGTTGGTAAAATATGATTGCAGTACTTTGCCTTTGTTAACTTTAGTTTGTTCATTGCCATGTGTGCTTGGTGATTTATTTGTGTTTTCTCTATTTTATATATCTCTTGTGATCTTTTTGAGCCGGGGGTCTCTTCGAAACAGCCTCTCTACTTTTGAGTAGGGGAAAGGTCTACGTACACACACCCTCCTCAGACCCTACTTTCGTGGGATCCAACTCGGTTGTTGTTGTTGTAATGTATAGAGTATATTTAACTGAGTTTTAAGTGAATGATCATTTTTTTGTTCTAAGGGTTAAGGAAAACTCTATGCTGAAGTGGCTGGTACTCTCTGTTTGATCAGTAATATTAGAATAAATGGAATCCACGGTGAGGATGAATTCTCAACCACGGCGAATATTGCCACCTGGAGCGTCACGGAAACAGAAAGAGAAGGAAATGTCATCTTATAATTCCATGTGGCCATCATCATATCCAGTTAGTCACAAGGCTACGACGTCGTCGAAGCAAGCTGAGTCAGCAGCAGGCTACTCGAACCGGGTCTTAGCCGGTTACATGGCTTACGAGTTCTTAACTAAAGGAACCATGTTTGGCCAGATGTTCGACCGGGCTCGAGCCGAGGCTGCCCTGGGGAACAGTGGTGCAGCAGATGAGGTGAGAAGGGGAAACCCGGCTGCCGAAGCCGATCCGAACGAGGTGAGGAGCCGAACATATGATGAGGTGGCGAGCCTGTTGAAGAGCGACGAGGCCCACATCCCCGGTGTGGTAAATCCGACGCAGCTCGCGCGATGGCTTCAGATGTGACATCATTGTGCGCCGGTCTTTTGAAAATCCTTACCAAAACACTAAATGGTTTGTTACACCTTGTGGTAGGTTTAATTTGTGTCATGAACTAAATGATCTTGTTGTTAGTAAATTTTCGGGTAATAATCCTTCATTTCTATTAGAAGTGTGTCAAAATATGTATGATACCAATATATTTGGGGCCATATAGTTCTCCGTTAGGTCCGGGACCGGATCCTAGATCCTACCACCGAGAGCCCTCTTGCCCAAAATGTTGTAATGATCATTGAAGTTTTTTTTGTCAAAGTATTTGAAATTGAAACTATTTTTTGTGATGAAGCCACAAGTCAAAACTCAAGAAATAAATAAATCTTGCGTATTAACTCTGAAAGTGCTAAAATTAAATGATGCTATTAGATAACTTTGCCAAAACAATACACTTAACTTTTGGTCCATGTGAAAAGCTATGTTTAAATAATTACTTGCATTGTGTATCTCTAAATGCATTGAAGGTACAAAGTGAAATGGATGAAGCAGTAGTGTGTGTGTGTGTGTATAATGTCTCAATGTTTGTTTGTTTGTAGCTCACATGAACTGATCTTTGCATTGCCTTCTTTCTCATCATGCCTTGTTGATTGCAACTGATGATGAAGATGATGATCTAGCGGCCTTCAGATTCAGAAATATTGCCCTAAAGCACATGACCAGATGAGTACTATTACATTAATTAATCTTTGAGATTAGACAAAGTGTTTGAATGTTAATTACTATACTAACCAGCACGAGGATACAAAGTTGTGAAATAAAACGCGCAACTGCAGGGGCATGTACTGGTAGTTGATCCACCCGACTATTGGCCAAAACTGCATCTCACGTACAATTGTTGAACATATAAAGTCTCATAATGAAAACCCAGACTAAAAAAAAAGTACTCCGTAATATATAAGAATGTGAGTTGTAGGACACCCATACCTTCCATGCAGTCAATTGCACGGAGGGGTAGTCCTTCCGGACCTTGTTTTTCACAACACTCCATGGCCTCCCTGCAATACCAGACAATATTATACTAATATGCGACCAAGAGTCGTCTAGAAAGACATTCAAACCATTCTTATTATAGGAAAATGCTTAGGGGCTGTTTGTTTTAACCTCTTAATGGTTCAGATGTGTGAATGGTTTATCACTTAATGGTTCAAACTGTTTGTTTCAGTCTTTTAATGGTTCAAATGTCTGAATGGCTCAGATATTTGCCTCTGAATGGTTAAGTATTATATAGAGTCTGAATGGTTAAGACTTCTTATCTGAATTGATCAGACATTTGCCTCTGAATAATTAAGCAATATACTAGCTCTTAATGGTTCAGACTTCTTATGGTTCAGACCTCTTACTGGTTCGACACTTACCTATTCAGAAGTTGCCAAACAGCCCCTTAGTGTCCAAACGGCGACTCTACTCCAAACTCGTCCTCCCCTCTTTTTTTTTTTTGTCGATACATACATGTCTGTGTGGACAAAAAAAGGTGGGGTCGTGTTTGGGGGCACAACCCCCCCCCCCCATCACCCATGGTGCATGATTTTTGAATTCATAGGAAAGAGCTAGGAAAACAATATACTTGCATTGATGCATGGTCTCACATACCTTCAACTACTAAGCCATAGTACATCAAGAAAAACATGTTGTTCCATGGAGAAGAAGTTAACTGCTCCAACAAGACCTTCACATAAGGGAAATTAAATTGCTATTATTAATTAATATCAGCAAAAAGGGAAAAAAAATAAGAAAAAAAGAAAACAATGTGACTATTGGTAACATAAGTGTTTGACCTTTGTAGCAACAGTTTTGTTACCCTTCTTTCCTTTGAACAAAGTGTCCATCAACTTGTGCAGAAAATGCCCAAATGGCCCTGAGTATGCAAACCCATATAACTGGGAGCAAAGATCACACAACCCCATATCAGTAAATTCACTAGCTCCTTTCAATCAATTTTTTTCCCCAAGAATTATGAAAAAAGATGATAATAATGATAATAATAATACAGTTAAAAGAACTATTCTTTTCAATTGCAATTTCTTGTTCCCAGAAATCCTCTGGGCAACCACATTACTGCACCCAACCAAAACACCAGCTGTTATCGCCTTACAAAAAAGAAAGAAAAACTAACTTAACTAAAAGCTCAAACAGATGATTAGATGCTCGAAAAAGATTTTATTATTCTAACAAAAAAACATTTTATGCGTGTGGATGACCTTGGTGCGAAGGGGATGGAGTTGGAGTTGCAGGAGGTACTTGTCCCAACCTTGTTTTACCATCTCAGACATTTTGTTTTCCGATTTTAACCTTTCTTTTTTCTTTCTCCCTCAAGACAACCTTTAACTGGTTCAAAAACAACGTCCCAAGTACTGCACAATGTACAACCACCATTTTTACGTACCAATTTCTTTCATTGGTTTGGTGGTTGGTTACAACAACTATATATTGTTTGTCTCATTCATTTCATTAATTAGTTAGTATTATGATCAGTAATTCATTCTTTCTTTAATGAGACTTTGTGGAAGGCTGTCTGTTAAGTTACAATTGCAAAAGAATTGAAGATGCCATGCGACGGGAAACCACCCTGATGCGAGGAAGAAGTAAATTGTGAAAAAAACAGAATCAAAATTTTCTTGGAAAATATTTTTTCCTCAACCAAACACACCATAAATGAGGGTAATTATTAGGATGTAAATGATACGGAGTATAATGGAATGAGTAAATCCTCTCAATATAGTCACACTTTCCTTGTTAACGTCACTCTGTTCTGAAGGACATGAACTAAATCAGAATAATTTGACTGCTGAAATATATTTTTATATTATACAAGTGTGATATAAAAATTTATTTATATTTGTTAAAAATATATTAGAATATGCATATGTATGAGTAAATTACATAAATGGTCTTTTATTATAGGCAATTTTCTATATTTAGTCTATATTTATCAAATATTACGAGCGTAATCCCTGCTTCTTTGGTTCTTTTCACGACGAGTCCTCCATCACTCCTACTATTATCTACATGTTCAATATAAGGTTGAAACGGAATTTGCTCCATACATATATATGCTTATAAAATCAATAAAAAATTGGTAAGAGTTAGAGGAGTGGAGTGTTATATCACTTATATCCACCACCCAATTCACTGATGAAAGCTTTACTATATATGTCCACCATGGATATGGCCTTTTTATTGGTTGACCAATCTTCAAATTGATTGTGTATGTACTCTATGCTACTGCAGCTGCAATATCATCACTTATGACTTATCCATCCAACTCAAGCTCTTAGTGCATGACAATATGGAATCCAATTCAATTTCAATATAATATACAAACCCACCATTGTATTACTATTATCCTTCCTTTTTTTTTGATTTTACTGTTTTGTTAATTATTCATAGAGTTAAGCAGTGCTTTCTTTATACTTTCTCCTAGAAACAAACTATGTACTTTCGAGTAGATGTAAGGTCTGCATATACATCCTCTCTAGATTACTCCCGAGGGATTCAACTAAATTACTATTGTTGTTGATCTGACTGGATTATTGTTGATGTTAAAAAAAATGATACAATTTTCTACTATGACAAAACAACTAGTGAAATGAAACGGCTCAGAACAAATGAAGAACAAATGAACAGATACGAAACTTAATACGCCCATATATGGTAAAGAGAAGTATACTAACATTGCTATTTTATCCCCGCTTTTTCAAACTTAATACGCCCAACTTATTCAACCAAGGGCATTTCAGTCTTTTTATTCCCCATTGGTCTGACAGATCTCTTGAACCCCGTATCAACCAGTTGATCGAATAAGGCGCGCCACGCAGGCGTGGGATAAAGAGATAAACCACACTAAAGAAAGGAGCTAGGTGTGAGTGTCCCATGCCACCATATAAGCTCAGAAATAATTACAAAAGAACTCATCACTATACTCAATTGTACTGCCCGTACATTATTGCTTGCACCTTTTTACCTTAGTAAAACATTTAATTATAGCCGGGGCCTTGATTACGAATTTGTTTTTTAACACCTCTTAAAAAAAACTTATACTAATGGGATCGAGGTTAATTATATAACTCTTTGCTCCCAACAAGTAGTGATCTATCAATTAACTTGAATTAGTTACTTAATTATAGTACTTGTTAATTATTACTCGGTATATTGGTGCTTCTATTTCTGAGGTCATTGTGGGAAATGCACAGTTTATAAGTACAAGTAGTTGACTTGTTAATTGCCAGTAGTTCAGCAATTAAGTACTTCAATTCTTTGAATAGTTGATGCACAAAATTTTTTGAAGAAATGTCCTTTGGACGGGATGGGAGGATGATATATAATAGATACTTATGCACTTGATTAGTCATGATATGGTTTTGATGAGTTAATTACCGGTTACCCCAATATAATGTATGTATGGGTGGTGCTAATTAAGGCACTAGTACAAGTGATAAGTTGATTTACAATCAAATTACATATTTAAAAACTATATAAAAAGATCTACAAAACTAGTGATGACATGATTTTATCATTTTGTAAAATGACTAATGAAAATAGAGAAAGATTATGAATAAAGTTTAACCATGTAAATAGTAAACATGTAATTTAATAAACAACAATTATATATACCTAGGAGTGGTTTTTAAAAAAAATTGTTTTAAACATTTTTTGTTCTGAAAAACCAAGATAATCATATATCAAAAAAGAAAAAAAAGGGTGGACTTCTTTGGAAGAGGGAGGGAGCAACATATCATAGAGAATAATATATCACTGTTTTAGTGGACCCGTTATGAACAGAAGTGTCCATTTACACAATATTATATTAAAAAGCAAACATTTTTTAAGATAAAAATTTATCTAGTCTATGGAGCATATTATTTATACTTTTTTGGTGATATTGAGGGCAACATGAGAGCATTTAGAGTGGCTAGCTAGTATAGCTGGGAGAATATTAGTTTAGTTACAAGGAATATTCTGCAGAAGCAAGGAGCATTTAGGAATGTGGGAAGAATGATTCCTTTGTTATTCCTTATATCTCCATTTGGAAGATTGGGATCTATTCCATGGAGTATAACTAGAGTGGAATATAAAAATAATACGGAGTAATAATAATATTGCCATAGAACAATAATAACCAACCAAAAGCTAAATAAAGCTACCTTCATTTCGATCTTTAGCTGCCAAATATTTTCTTGTCATAATGTCTTCTTCCTTTTTCTTCTACCTTTTGACATGCATGTGACATGCCCCATCATCCAATGCAAATAGTCTTGTTTTTCTTGAACCCTAATTAATTTTGTTTTGTTTCATGTATGGTAAAGAACCTAGCTAAATGTGATTAATTGGTTGCCATTTAATTTTTAGTTGTTATTCCCATGTGTCACCTTCATTAGTCATTTAGTATGAGACTTGCTAAAACCTCAAAAATTCACAAAATGAGATGTCAATCAAAAACATCAACTATTTGGGTACGTACTCATTTCGTCCTTTCTTAATTTATATACCCATAATATATTTTAAAAAAAACTTCCTTTACATATATTTTATTGATGATAAGATATACTCCTATATAAAACAATATAGTCATATCATCTTAGTTTATAAATTGTAATACACTATTATTTAAATAAATTTAGTTGAGAATTAATGTACTCAAACTTCATAAATACTCCGTAATAAAAAAACGATATATAAGGACTTAGTTATTATTTTAATTATCAGTCCAAACAAATCACTCACAAAATGCACAAAATTATCATTTGTATTTTTTAATTATTTGAAACCATAATTTCAATCTAATACTTTACATATTCGACAAGTTTGTAAATTTTGTGAATATTTTATTAGTGACTCTAGTATTACTTTTTTTCAGTCATAGTCCTTTTCTCCATGCATCTCTAAACAAAAATAACCAAATTCAGGTATTTTGGCAATCAGCCTAATTATAAGTTTTACCAACACATGCATTAAACACCCTGGCATAATTATCATACTAACCTCTAATCCAATTTTAACTGCCTTGATTATTAACCCAAAGTAATAAATTAACGATTCAACCCATGTGCCATGTTGATCATGTAATAATTCTATAACATGCATTTTCTATTTTCTCCCACAATACTTTTTTAATATGGACTAACTTTTTACACTTTTTTTCCTTAAGATTTGCATGAATGCATTTGTTTTGTACAAAGAAAAAAAAAGTTTTAGTCTTCACAAACAATGTGCCTTTAAAATACTCCCTCTGTTCCATAAAACTCTTCTCCTTTCAATTTTTTGAATTCCCTAAAATACTTCCATTTTCTATTAAAAACCACTTTTACCCTTGTTTTTTCATACTCTACCTTTCACATCATACTTTTTCACTAATAACCAAACTATCACATCTTACTTTTACCCATCACATCAGGGGCAAAATTGGAAAGTCAACCAAAATTACACTTTCCTTATTTTTGCCCAAAGTCAAAAGTAGAAGGGTTTAAAGATACGTATGGAGTAGTTAAATACCACGGAGGCACGGACTACTCTGTAAAATACTCTGTATTATAGAGTAGTTCAGTGAAAAAATTAAGTATTAACAATATTATTATTATTATTATTTTAGGAGTGGTGTAGTTAAAAACCTTTCTTATTTTGAATTTTTTATCAAACAGTAACACTATTCAACTACGAATTAAAAAAATAATATAAAGATATAAATGATATTAAAATTTGATATATGAAAATTATATCATAAGATGAACCTAAATATATTGATTTATATTATAATTAAATATACTTTTTTCGTAACTTGTGGTTAAAGAATATCACTGTTTGACCAAAAATCAAAATAGTCAAAATTTTAGTACCGGAGGAAATATTTTTTATATAGAGAGAAGGAAAAAATTAAAGTAAATTTATATTCTTAATTACCATAATTCTATTTCTACCATAACTAGGAAAGGGCATTATAGAAATAAATAAATAGAAGTAGGAATATATCTTTTCCTGATTTGGATTCCTTTCTCGTAACAATTTTATCATTCTTTTCGATCTTCACTAATTTTGAATTAATTTGAATTACAAATAGTTTTAGAGTCTGTTCTTTAGGACTTGAACTATTAACTTCCAGTTCCTTCCAGTTTCTTCCCGTTCTTCCTGTTTCTTCGAGTTCCTTCCCGTTTCTTCTAGTTCCTTCCAGTTATTCTCATTTTCTTCAAACTTTTTTCTTCAAACTTTTTCTACCTCTCAACCAATTACTCTAAAAACGATATATTTTAATGTGATTATATTATTATTACTATTATTATTACTATTACTATTATCATTATTATTATTATTATTATTATTATTGTTATTATTATTATTATTACTACTACTACTACTACTACAACTCTTCTGTTCATAACTAGAGTTTATAAATTATTTTTTTCATCTCACTATTACATTATGTGACATTTCTGATATTTAAAACAAAATCTTGTAATATATAAAGTATAATTACAAATATACTATTTACAATAAATACTGCATAAATAAATTAAGGTGCAATATAACCACTAATACTTTTTAAAATTTAATATTTTTATATTTATGCTAACTTTATATTATAATTATTTTTTTGCAAAAGTAGATTTTTGTGTTTAAAAAATAACAATACTTTTTTCTATCCTAAAGGCATTTATTAAGATAACGTGATAATATAATGGTGATGATGATGATGATGATAATAATATTAATAATAATAATAATAACAACAAAAACAGTAATAATAATAATAATAATAATAATAATAATAATAATAATAATAATAATTTATAACTACAAGAATTTAAAATAAATGTTTATAAAAATTTTTTAGGTTTTTCAATTTTTGAAGTTTTTCCAGTTTTTTTTCAGTTTTTTCCCGTTTCTTCCAGTTTTACTAATTTCTTCTAGTTTCTTCCAGTTCCTTCCAGTTTTTTCCAGTTTCTTCCAACATCAACCTCTTTTTTTCCATTCTTAAAGAACAGGCTCTTAATGAAACATCGTTATTCGATTTGTCAAGTTTTTTTGGGGGAGCCATAGGGTACGTATTTATTACTTGGTGTGGACGTACTCTTGCACTGGTAGCTAGGATGGTTTCCGAGAGAGGATCTTATATTTCCAAATCCTGGCAGCAACTGTTGCTGATTTTAGCATCATCGCCTATTTTGTGTGATTGGGTTTACTTAATTAGATCATCCAAGAATTTGAATAGACGTTGTCAAACGAGTTAGGATGCGTGGTGCGTGCACTCGTTCAATGATATTACAAATTCATAGTGGATGTTCGGGGGCGGCAACCCCCAGGTAGCAGGTCCAAGGGGCGGCAGCCCCTGGCGGGGGTCGAGCTGCTGGGACATTATTATAATTCTTTATGATAATCCTTCATACTTTCATGAATGGAGTCCAAAATATTAAAAAATCCTGGACTTTGGATAAAGGCCAATTTTGACCAAACTCTACAAACGTTTGCGTCCGAAAATTGAAAGTCTACGTTACGTTTATCCCTACCGCGAAAGTTTGCAAACTTTTACGCGAAAGATCATGTGGGATCATATATTTTCATCTCTATAAATAGAGATGCTCGGGTATGGTTGAACGCACGATTTAAAAAGGCTTGTTCTTTATTAACATCTTATCCGATTAAAATATTTCGTATACTCCAAAATAACTTTGATCTCAAAGCGTTTTACATGGTTCGTTATACTCTATCAAGTTATTCTTCTCATTCTTCGTTAACGCTGCTCCGCATCGTTCTTCCTCCGATCCGTACCATTTTCCTACCGCAACAATGTGAGAGTTTTCTCCAATGTGATAGCTTTAGGGCACACCAACTATAGAATAACCTCTCTAAGATCAGAAAAAGATCAAAGTAGGAGTAAAACATTGAAAATATATCAGAATTGGATTTCTATATTTTATTCTTGAAATAATAGTTAAAATACATCTAGATTATCAAACATGACCATGTACTGTAATACCCCGTATTAAGATGGGAATGAGAAGAGCTTAAAAGGATTGATAGTACTACTCATACCAACAAGGTGCATCTTCTTTTCGAGAGCTCGTCACCTAGAAACTCCGAAGTTAAGCGTGCTTGACCCTAGAGCAATTCTAGGATGGGTGACCCCCTGTGAAGTTTTCCCTGGGCGTGCACGAGTGAGGACAAAGTGTGCGGGAAAGACATGTGTTGGTTTGTGGGGCCAGTCTACAATCCTATGAGTAGACACTTACGACCAGGGTTGGGGCCGGGGTGTTACAAATGGTATCAGAGCAACCCTGCGACCGTGACGGGCCAAAAGAGCTTTGTTCAGCTAGCGGGGAAGATCTATGGGTTCAAAAAAAAGGATGTAACGAGGACGTTGCATTCCTAAGTGGGGGTGAATGTAATACCCCGTATTAAGATGGGAATGGGAAGAGTTCAAAAGGATTGATAGTACTACTCATACCAACAAGGTGCATCTTCTTTTCGAGAGCTCGTCACCTAGAAACTCCAAAGTTAACCGTGCTTGACCTTGGAGCAATTCTAGGATGAGTGACCCCCTGGGAAGTTTTCCTTGGGCGTGCACGAGTGAGGACAAAGTGTGCGGGAAAGACGTGGGTTGGTTTGTGGGGCCAGTCTACAATCTTATGAGCAGACACTTACGGCCAGGGTCGGGGCCGGGGTGTTACATGTACATTATCAAAAATTTCTATGTACAATGTCACATTATTACAGTGTGAACTTTATTTAGAGATTAAAACATAGATATCTCAATTTTGTTCTTTCTCTATAATTTACTCTTATTTAAGGTGATTTTTTTTCTAAGAATCAGAATAAGATTATACTTTGTGATTTACCTATTACTATCATGTTTGACCAAAGTGTACGTGCAGGCACTCCGAGAGACATTTCACCTTTTATTTTTTACTAGGTGGACTCATGTATTACCACCGTCCCAATGTATTCATTCCGTTTGATTCAAAAAATCAAATCGGACAAATATACAGGGATGAAAGTACGGAGTATTATTCAATGTTGGTTGTGTATATTTTCCTTGTATCAAAGTATATCGAACTAATTGTTTCAGAATAATTTATGCACTGGCCTTGGGACTGACGTTTTTTAAATTCAATTTATATAAAGATTGATGTAGAAATAAAAAACCTTATATATTTTAAACAATCTTCCTCACTCTCAATGTATTTGTTTAATTTGAATTTTTTGAATTAATTACTTTAATTTGTATTGCATATAAATACAATGAAATCAATAGATCAGAACTAATGAAACTATGTTTATACCAATACACATTACATTTTTTCGTCTTGTTTGACTCAAAAAAATCAATTGAACATATGCACTCGGATGCATGTAGTGCTTCAAAAATTTTACAAATCAAGTAACAACAATTTCACTATTTTATATTATCAAATGATGAGTTCTTTCAAAAAAAAATTATTCAATAAAAACAGACATAAAAAAGTGAATATAGTTGGTAGGAGGAGGGAGTAATAATGTAAAGGATCTATGTTCCAAATCTTTTTCTTTCTGCGAAATAAATTTTAATTCTAATAATTTTTTGTTAAAATTGTACGTACTCGTGGTACAAAATAAGTAAATCAGAATGTATTAATAAATAAATAGAAATGGAAAGCCTATATATATATACATGTGTCTATATATATAAATCTGTCTTTCACCACCTCTTTGCCTAGCTTTCTCTATCTCCATATATATTTCTTTGAGGGCCGGCCGGCCGGACCGTTTTCCGGCGACCTGAAAATGGTGAAGTTTTCAAAGGAGTTGGAGGCGCAGCTCATACCGGAGTGGAAAGACGCCTTCGTGAACTACTGGAACCTCAAGAAACACGTTAAAAAGATCAAGTTTTTAAGACGGGCCAAATCATCGGTTTATCAGGATGGCAACGGCGACTTTGGCCGGTCTATTTTCGACCCGGTCCGGGCTTTCGTCCAGAATTTCTCCGGCTGGCTTCCCACTGCCGTCGCCGGAAAATCCGAAAGCAATCGTACTTCCGAGGTTAACTCCCTATATTATTACTTTCTTAGCCCCACAATTTTCTTTGACTTAAACTTTCCAAAAAGAAAAAAAAGCACATTAATGTAGAATTTTGATATTATTTTCTAAGTTTATGCTTAGTGAGAAAGATCAAAGTAGGACTAAAATATTGAAAATATACTAATATAGGACTTCCATGTTTTTATTCCTGAAATAGGACTTACATTACCAAACATAGTCATTTACATTACCAAAAAAAAATATAGTAATGTGCACATGTACAGTACAGTGTCACGTTAAGTCCTATTTCGGGAGAAAAAATTCTATTTTGGTACTTTTCTCTATGTTTTAGTTCTATTTAGCTTACTTTATAATACAGTGTGATATGATATGATGTATATATGGTAGATAGTCATATTTAAAAAATAATATCAAAATAATTCATTTTTAGACTGTGCTTTTTTCGTGTTTGAAAAATTTTGTGGGGCAGAGGAAATATTTATGTTTCGAAACGAATTCGTATATAACACAATATATTTGTTCCTAATATAAAATCAAATGAGAGAAGTGTTTTCCGATTTGAACTTTATACGGAGTATTATTTAAATGGAGGAAATTAAAAATATGAATATGTTCCACTACTAGGAACTTCCGTGGTGTATAAAGCACTACATCTCGCAAAATATATTTCTAAAAGTCACGTTACAATCACACAAAATTTGTGATACTATGAATATTTTTTATATGTAATTATATTGTCTATGATGACACTCATCCGTCCACAACATTTGTCTAGTTTTGCTCCTTTTAGTCAATCATGATCAATTTTTGACCTATAATGAAATAAAAAATATATTGATAAATTTTGATAATTAATTGATTTTATTTAATTAATAATGAATTTGGGTTTAATAATATCAAAATAAAATTTATTAATTTTATTTAATTAACTTAGCAAATATCCGTATTAATTTGCTAAGTTAATTGTCTATATTAGAAAAACTTAATTGGCTATCATGAACTAAGTTAGTGCATTAGCATAGTTTTTTTTTTGAAGATAGTGCATTAGCATTTGAAGAATTTGCCAACAATAAATTGAATGACAAATGAGACTATGGGTGTTCATATCCAAAGTAGTATATAATGTCTTGTTTGAAAATTATGTTTTGGTTATTTTTTATGAGTGTTAGTATTTTGGATAAAAATTTTATATTGTAAATTAAATTTAAAAGCATTAAAGAATGCTACTATTGCATAGCATTTTTAAAACTTTAACTTTAATCTTTAATGTGGTTGCCAAAGAGAGAGAACCTGTTTTGGCCATATGATTTATTTTTGTTCTTATAAAGAAAGGGAACCTTATTTTGAAACGAATGAAAAAACGTAACGTTAGGGACAGAGGGAATATTTAGCTTTAAATTGAGCAATATAATCAGGAGTACTTATGAAATCTGGAATTAATTACTTAGGTAAATAACCAAAAACAAGAAGAAAGCAACCAAGAAGAAGAAGCCGATGAGGAAGAGCAAGAAATGCATGATAGTGAAAATGAGCTTGTTCAACTCTTCTCCGAGGAAGATGAGGTATAGTTATTATTATTATGGAGTATTATTATTATTATTATTACAACTATTACTGATACAACCTGATAATATTCGATCTTATTGAATATTGAAAAATATCTATATTTATATGCATTACATGAGAGAGTTTTAACTATAGTAGGAGAATAAATATGGTAATAATATAATTAGAAAAACAATATGATAAGGAAAATAATGAAATACTCCCTCCGTCTCTAAATAAACTTCCCTTTTTAATTTTTTGAGGATTTAAGTTAGGGATATTTTTGTGTTGATTTTCCAAAAATACCCTTGATGTGATGTGTAAAAGTAAGATGTAATATGTAGATTATTGGCAAAAAAGTGTGATGTGATAGGTAGGGTATGAAAAAGTAATGGGTAAAAGGAGTTTTTTAAGGGAAAAGAGAAGTTTATTTGGAGACAAAGAAAAAATGAAAAAGGAAGTTTATTTAGGGACAGAGGGAGTATAATATTTATTTCATATTATCTAATATTTCTAATAACTACCTCTATTTTTAGAGTGATGCTTAGATAGCACCAAAGTTTACATTTAAAACGTGAACTTTCTCACATTTTCATGGAATTGCACGTCGATTTTTTTTGAAAAGGCTCACTTATTTCATAATACAAATGCACTAAGGTCCATATAATGAGCATGGACCTTAGGTCCATGAAAGAATTTGCTCTATTATTATTATTATTATTGTTATTGTTATTGTTATTGTTATTGTTATTATTATTATTATTATTACTATTATTATTTTGAGAAAGTTACATAAATAGCACTAAAATATAATGACTTTCCCTAAATAGCACTATATGTATTTTTTTCACAATGTAGCAATTTTAGTCATTATCCATTAGGAAATTTTTGCCATCTTTGGTCATTATGGACATTATTAAGTGCTATTTATAAAAAAAATCAACTTAAGTGCTATTTAGAAAAATAACTTAAGTTTTAGTACTATTTAGTGCAAATATTATTTGTTTGTTGTTTACTCTGTGTTACATTTTGCAATATTTTTAGATAGTTATGGTTCTTTTTTTTTCAAATTTATTGAGTTAAATAAAGACAAGGATAGAGATGTTCACATAAATCACAATAAATTATCAAAATGAACAAATATATCGAGGCGGAGCCGCGGAGGCTGAGACAAGGAATTGAACTAGAATGTAATTTTGTAGGTAATGTAATCTTAATATGAAAAATACACATGTTTTTTTAAAAAAATTATGCATGGCATGCAGGTGAGTGTATTTTTCGAGAAATTGGATGAAGAGCTAAAGAAGGTGAATGAATTTTACAAGAACAAAGAGAGTGAGTTTGTGGAAAGAGGAGACAACTTGAAGAAACAGCTCCATATTTTGCTGGATCTCAAGCGGCTCGTCAACGACCGCCGCCGGAAAACCCTTCCCCGCTCATTGTCCTCTTCTTCCGGCTCTAACTCCGACCACCGCTTGGATTTCTCCGGTACGTACCAAATCACATATACGTCGTCTCAGCTCCATCCATATTTCCTTCGCTATTAATTATTTATTCGTGTAATATATATTTGAGAAATTTATGTAGCAAATTTTTAGGTACTACATTGAAAAAAGAAATACTGAATTTAATACTCCATAACTAAAATTGAGTATCAAGTTTTACAATAATAATTGTCTAGTTTTGAATTTTTCTATTAATTAATTTTTAAACTTATAATTATATAAAAATTATATGGTATATTAATTTAAACAATATACGGAGTACTTCCTTTCGTCCCAAAAACTACTCCACTTTTCTTTTTTTCTTGTCCACAAATTAAAGTCATTTTTCTTTCTATTAAAAATCGTTTTTATCCGTACTAATTCTCAATCTCTCTATATCACATCATACCTTTTTACCAATAATTTACATAGCACATTCTACTTTTACTTTATCACATCAAAGATATTTTTAGAAAGTCAACATATAAATATCTCTTTTTTAAATTTCATAAAAGTCAAAATGAGAATATTTTTACATGATGAAAAAAGTATGTAATTAAAACAAGTACGGAGTAATTTATAGAAAAATATGAAACTTCTTATATGTGTTCCCCATTAAGTAGATTTGTTATTGAAATGTATTGGATCTATAGCTTCTGGTAGTTTCCGATTCATGTGTGTATAGATAATGGAAAACACGAAAGACAATTGATATGATGCAAAAAGTCCACTCCACTCCCCACCTCAATTCTCAATGGAACCCGGCCGTCCATGCCATTTTATTGTTTTCATTAAATTACATTCTAAAAATGATTTTTTAATAGCTCACTCATTCATTAAATTAATCTCAACTTGCTAAGTACAATATTGAGAAGTTCAGAGAGACTTTTTTGGCATTAAGCCAACATGCTTGCACGCTAAAATGAGCTTAATTATATTAATGTTTTGTTTGGTACACAGAATCAAATTGCGGAATTGGAATTGGAGATAACGATTCTAGTTTTGCTGTTTGATAGCACAAAGATATGTAAATTTGAAATTGGTAGTGTCAAGAATGAATTGGAATAGGAGAACTTAATTCTATCCAAATCAATTCCGTAGAATTTCAATTTCCATTTAATTTCAATTTCTTCAATTCCATGTACCAAACAGACCATAAATTTATATTATAATTAAATATAATTTTTTTTCAAAATCATGGTCAAATTAAATTGAAAAATGATGAAGATGATAAAATATGTATTTCCTTTGTCACAACTTAATTTAAAGCACTCGTTCTATGTTCATATAGTCAAACTTTACTATTCCATAAGTTTTTTTTAGTACATTTTTTAGTTATTCATGGGTGATGCTTACAGAGTCATAAGGTCCACTTTCAAAAGATAGACCTTCTCACATTTTAATGAGCTTACGTCTAGATTTTTTTTGAAAAAAAACATGTTTTATGTTACAAATACACTAAGATCCACAGAAGAATTTGTCGTTGTTCATATGTAAATAATAAAGTCATGCCAATTTTTCATTCGTAAAGCTTTTGATATAATTTCAAGATATACCACTAATGTAATATTTAATTATATACGTACTCCGGAGATGGATAATTAATAATCAAAGTTTATCGAGCAGATAATGGGAGCGAATATTGCGGCAGTCCAGAGGCCAGAAACAACGCGACACCGGAGACGGACAGTGGGGTTGCCGCGGCGGTAGCGAGCAGAGCAAAGAAGGCCGGAAATCGGAAGACGACCGCCCTGAGGATTGACATTCCGGCGACCACCCCTACGAGGGCCATCTCCGCCGTGACGTCAATGGTTTGGGAAGACTTGATCACCACCAAAGAAGGCGGAGGGGAGAAGGAGACTGTGAGCACTAAGAAAACACAGTGTGCTGAAAAGATGATTAGGATGGCTTTTGTGGAGCTCTACCGTGGCCTTGGATTGCTTAAGATTTACAGGTTTTTTTCATCTTTTTTTTTCTTCATCAATTTATCCCAATGTTTTTCTCGTCATAAATACTCGATAAAAAGTTTCATCTTTGACTTGACAGGAAAATAATTTTTAAATTACTATTGACAAGATTCAAAAAAAGTTAGATAAAACTAAAAAAATTAAAGTATAAAGAAACTTAAATTGAAAGAAATTGAATAAGAAAATAGAGCCTAGGAAAAATAGAAGAAAAATTTTAGAATTGAACAAATTGAACTTCGTTTAACTTTGTGCATCAAATGAGTTAAAATCTTAGTAACCGTTAAATGTACAGTACATAAGAAAAGAATTACAACATGACCTTCATGTTTAATTTTATCCCCATAATAAAATATCCCCATTATAAAATCTACAATATCAATAATGTCAATTTATAATACCAAAAAATATATTAAAAAATCAATACACACTATTATTCTTGTGATCAATTATATGAATTGATTATTTATTTCTATAGTTATTTGTGATTAGATTAAATTTAAAAAGTATGAAATTACCACATTTTTTGAATTATGAAATATAATTTGAGACGGATGGAATAATCCTATATATATATATATACATGTAGAGTAGGTTGGCGTCGTCACTTGTACGTGCTACTAGAGATTGCTACTTGATGAGGCATCATCTCTCGAATTGAATCATTCTTTCGTACGCAATTGTGAAGCGACCAAAATCAATGGAACGATATGGGCATCTTCGAATCAGATTCGGAATATTATTTTCATTAAAGAGAATACAACCATTATATAGTTACACTGATGATGAATGTATTTGGAAGTTATACTAACATTTTGGTGATTCACAATATAATGGTTACAAAATGCTAGTGTCATTAACAATTTTATACTAACATTTTTTATCGGTAAGACTATCACCCCAATATTACACTGACAGGTACACACATATTGTGTATAATTTGGAGTATGAATTTTGGGGTACAAACAGCTTCATCCAAAAGAATATGTCAGTTTCCCTAAAAAAAAGAAGAAGAGAGAATTTGTCCGTAATATAGGGAGTAATAATTAAGAGGTCGAGTTTAGACCTTTTTAGTCAAACATTTGACCCCAAATTAAATACTCTCTCCGTTTCATTAAAACTCACTCTCTTTCGTTTTTTTTTCAAATTCCTAAAAACAATTTCATTTTTATTAAAAAACTATTTTTATCATTATTTTTTTCATATCCTATCTATCACATCATACTTTTTCACTAATAACCAAACTATAACATCTTACTTTTGTTCATCACATCAAGGACAATAATTTTAGGGAGGAAGTACTTATCATATTGCAAGTTAATATTGTATTAAGAAATACCACTCCAATGATTAATTACATGCATTATTGAAGAAAACTACATGCATTATTATTATTATTATTATTATTATTTTTATTCAACCTAATAGTATAGCAATATATAGATAGCATGCAGGCGTTGGCATGATGTTCAAGAAATTCAATAATAACAATAATAATAATAATAAGTAAAATTTAAAATAAATTGAATGAACTTTAGACAAGGAAATTAGGAAAGAGCAATAGTTTTCATGAGGTTAGTTTCATGTACGTACTTGTGCAATACCTCCTTTTGGCAAATGCCAGATGGTTTTTAATTCCTTGAACGAAACGAAACGAAACGTGATTAGATATCACATTAATTACTCGCAGTTTCCGTAATATACTTTGATTAACCTCGCCCACTTTAATTAATTAATTATTAGCGGCTGCCTATATTTTTTGACAGCTCTCTAAACATGGTGGCGTTTGTCAAGATCCTTAAGAAATTTGACAAGGTAAGCAAATATATATACACTTCTTCCTTATCATTAAATAATTTCACTTTCCATTTTTTATTCTTCTCGTAAAGCCTCTTCACGCACTTTTGATTAAAATGTAATTTACGTTTTAAAACGTTTTACTTTTTAGTTCTATATATATAGAGCAATTATTCTTGATTAAAATATCTAAATTTACTTATATTAATTATTAATTTACCTATTAAATCTCATTGACTCGTGAATATTCTACCCATCACATCCAAGAGTAAATTTAAAAAACCAACTACAAGATACACACACATTGAATTTGTTCTCGAGTCACAAACAATTTAGACACAAACTACACAAACTTATCATTTTTATACTTTTCAAAGTAAATTAAATGATCTTAAATAATTAAAAATAAAATTTTAAATACACAAAAGGTAAGTTTGTGTCCTGTCCCAATTATTGTTTGTAGAGTTATATACAATTAATATTTGAATGTAATAATGTTGCATTTGAAACAGGTATCTAAGCAGCAAGCATCAACGAACTATCTAAAACTAGTGAAGAGGTCATATTTCATTAGTTCTGATAAGGTAAAGAAATTAAGAGTGCAGTGTTCTACTATACGTAGCATTCAATTTTTATGCAAATTAAACCTTATTAACGACCCCTCCAAATTGCTTAAAAAAATAAGCTTCTCATTTGATTTCTACGGGTTAAATAAGCTTATAGTTAATTGTGATTAATTAAATAATGTATGCATTTTAATTTGGAGAATTGAAATGTGAAGGTAGTGAGACTAATGGACGAAGTGGAGTCCTTATTCACGCAGCACTTTGCTAAGAATGACCGGAAAAGGGCTATGAAGTTCCTACGCCCCCAACACCACACAGACTCTCACGTCGTCTCATTCTTTTCTGGTAAATAATTATAATAATAATAATTAATTAATCATAATAATGAAATTAATTACATATAAATGGAGGTTGTAATTTGGTTGAATTGGTGGGGGCGGGAGCACGCAGGGCTATTCACAGGGTGTTTCGTGACATTATTTGGGGTGTACGGCATATTGGCGCACCTAAGCGGTATGTTCTCTAGTTCAACAACCCAAGATGCTGCTGCCTATGTTGAGACTGTCTATCCTGTTTTCAGGTACACCCTACCCTACTAAGCACCTACCTTAATATGTCTTCATAGTGTTTCAATTCACACCTGCTGACGAGATTTGTTTTTATCCTGTGAAAACTAATTTTTAAAAAAATTGAGTGACGGTACGTTTCGAGCTCGTGATTTCTTGATCAAAAAAACTCTGATTGTATGATACTATAACCGATTAACCCCAATCAAAAGCTCAAAATTATGATTGTACGATCATTAAATGTTTTATACTCCACCACATCCTTAGAAATTGTGGTTCACTAATTAATTCAACCACCCTAGTTGAAGTGACATTGAATTTCAATGCCATATGACGACTCGGGACACCTACGATACTCCGTTTGAAAAATTAATAGTCCCCATCCACCTCCCCAACTCACGGCAAATCCTCCTGCCTCGGGGCGCACGAAGGTTTATTTGGTCAAATTTAATAAACGTTGACCACCAGTTGACTATATTTGCATGCAGCATATTTGCGTTGTTGAGCCTGCACGTGTTCCTGTACGGGTGCAATCTGTTTGCGTGGAGGAGCACAAGGATCAACGTCAACTTCATCTTCGAGTTCCAACCCAAAACAGCGCTCAAGTACAGAGACGCCTTCCTCATCTGCACCTCTCTCATGACGGCGGTGGTCGGGGCCATGGTTCTCCATCTCATCCTCTTCTCCAAAGGCTTTTCTTCCGATCAAAAACTCGACGTCATCCCCGCCATCCTCATCCTGGTAATTGAATTTCTTCAGTTTGACTTGAAAAAATCAAACTAAAAAAATATACTGATATGAAAGTAGTATATAATAATTTGATAATTAACTTTGGCAGTCATTCCTTGGAGTGCTTATATGTCCATTGAACATTTTTTACCGTCCCACGCGCATTTGTTTCCTTAGAGTGATTCGAAACATTGTCTGCTCTCCATTTTACAAGGTGCGTACCTACATATTAAAATTATTAACTCTTAAAACAGTTTATAAATAGTGAGTATTTTATTGGTGTTAATTAATTATCGCAGGTTTTGATGGCAGATTTCTTCATGGCTGACCAACTAACTAGTCAGGTATGTATATATATACCTGACTTGCTTCCATTTTATTCTCCTTTAAGCAAATTAAGAGTCATTTATTATTGATACAAATGGTCGAATAGCATAATGAGTTTACAGGAACAGTTTGAACATTTTCTTTCTGAGCAGAAAAAGTTTTTTCAAGTCCAAAAGAGTCGTTTTGAAACTAAGGAGAGGTGCAGAGACTCAACGGAAGCTTTTCTAATTACCAATGTGAAAATATATTTTTTTACCAAGCCGATTAAAGAATAAAGAGAGAGTCCGTTTCTACATGTCAATATTTTTTAAACCATTACAATAAATTTACATATGCTACGAGTGTGTTTTGTACTTATAAGCTTTATTATCTTATAAATCATCTAATGACGTCTTTCTTTAATTTGTGATTATTTATGAACTGACTTATACGCTTCTTGTAAGTAAAAAAAATTAGTTTTATATACTTATTTATAATTTTTTTTCTCTTCCACGTTTAAATTACATTATTTACAAAACTAAATCTCACCATTTATGAACATCCCCACTCATTAATAAAGTCATTTTGCTTTCACGAAAAAATATTTAATTTCTAAGCAGTTTATAAATTAAAAATTACTTATCAGCAATTATAAGTCAATAATCACCTGCATGGAGAAACACCACCATTTTCTAATTGTTACATCTATCCGAGTGTATTTGTCTATTTCGGCTTTAAAAGTCAAACTAGACAAACCTTGACTTTCAATTATTTTTTGATGTATATTGCATATTAATATAATGAAATAATGTTTTAAAAGCTTTCAATAAAATGAATCTAGTAAAATTATTTTTATATAAATACAAATATAGGGGTATGGATGGAATAAAAATTTTCTAATCTGATTTCATTAAGAATAAATAAGAAGAAAAAAATAAGTAGAAAAATGGTCTCCATCTATCTTATCCACTAATTCTCAATTTGGCTCTGTTAAAATGACTCTCATATGTTATGAGTTTCGTCCATTTGCAATTCCCCTCTCCTCTTTGCCAATTTGCAACGGTAATCACTATGATTTGTTTGTAGATCCCATTGTTAAGGCACATGGAATCGTCGGCGTGCTATTTCCTCGCCGGAAGTTTCAAGACCCACAAATACGAGACCTGCAAATCCGGCCGGATGTTCACGGAGCTCGCTTACCTCATCTCCTTCGCGCCCTACTACTGGCGGGCTGCCCAGTGCGCCCGGCGGTGGCTCGACGAGGACGACGCCAGCCACCTCGCCAACTTCGGCAAGTATCTCTCGGCGATGGTCGCCGCCGGGGCCAGGCTGACGTACGCCAGGCAGCCCGAATCGCAGCTCTGGCTCGCCATCGTGCTCGCCACTTCATCCACGGCCACCGTTTACCAACTCTATTGGGATTTCGTCAAGGATTGGGGATTTTTCAACCTCAATTCCAAGAACACATTGCTCCGAGACGATTTGGTTCTCAAGAATAAGATCGTCTACTATGTTTCCATTGTAAGTTCTTCCATTCAATTCAATTTTTTTTAACACATTTGCATTAAGGCTAAGTTTAATTTATGAACTTAATTATGACCTAATTATGAATTAGATGACTAGTTAATCGTTGGAATTCAATTTTTATTGTAAACTCAGATATGCTCAGTGATAAAAGTCTGATGGGCCGAACATAGCCTGGGGGAACACTAGCCCGTTTATGTGCATTTGCGCGATAGGGCCAACCCACAAGCCCACGAGGGTTCTATCCTATAACCAATTTGTTTCTTTCTGGTGTGAGAGAGAACTCCAGACACTCAATTATGAATTATGAATGTAAAATTTGCATTAAATAGGACTAAAACATAAGTCATTTTCCAATGTAGGACTTAAACTTTTTTATTTCCTAAATAGTACGGAGTACTTAATAATGTCTAGTGAGAGAAATAATGTCCAGTAATGATAGACATTTACTTGAATAATGACTAATTGATAATGACCAAAACATATGGTCCTATATTGAAAAAGTCATTATATTTTAGTCCTATTTAGGTAAATTTCTCATTATGAATTCCATGAGCTGCTTTTTCCATAAATAAGTACTAATGAACAGATTGGGGATTCGAAATTTCAGGCCCTGAATTTTGTCTTGAGGCTGGCATGGGTGGAGACTGTGATGCGTTTCAATGTTGGAGTCTTCGAGTCACGCCTCCTCGACTTCTCACTCGCTTCACTTGAGGTCATCCGACGCGGACATTGGAACTTCTATAGGTACATATCTCATCTCACCCCTATGTATATATCCCTTTGCATAGAAGTTATATACTCTAGTCACCCCACGGATCACACCAAAGTTGACACTATCAATGTCTCATGGACAGTTGTGTCTGTGCGAGATTGTCTCTAGTGGTGTCAATATTGGTGTGATCCTCGAAGTTGAAGTAGCTCAACTCTTGAGCTCAAGATGTAGGCAATGAGATGATGAGAGGGAATGTGAGATGTTTTAATAATTCAGTCATGATAGATACATATATATGCAATGGTTGGTTAAACAGGTTGGAGAATGAGCATTTGAACAATGTTGGAAAGTTTAGGGCAGTGAAAGCCGTTCCATTGCCGTTTCGCGAAACAGACTCTGATGTCTAATCTAATGTGTTTCTCATTATTATTATTATTATTATTATTACGAGTACTATTTCAGTGTGTAGATATGAAGAAAATGTATCCGGATGTGCTAAACTGTAAAGATCATAATAACACAATCTTCTTGACTTGTATAAATCCCAGTCTGAAAAAAAAAACTCTGATATGTATTTATATATAAGCCTCTACAAAAAACTGCCTTGTTTTATCATATCTGTGATCCGTTTGGAGAGGCAAAATGCGGTTGCCTGAATGGTGATCATAGGGTTCACCCCAACCGCGCCCGGAAGGACACTTGCGTCACAAACAAACAGCCCCTCCGCTTCCCAGCTCTCTCCGTTTTCGTCCACTGCCCCTTCTTTAGGAGTGGGCCCCATTCTGCAGCTCCCCATCTGATGCGCCGAGGAGTAAGTGGTGAAGTCCTTCACCATAGACTTTGGCCCCTCGGCTGCCATTACAGTGTCCAAGAACTCATCCACCTCCTTCTTGCTTGCCCCTTTGCACTTCATCTTCTGCCCATTGCTTAGGTGTGTTCCTATCTCAGTTGCCCCTGCTGCAATTAGAATCCTCAAAGCTTGGCGTGCCCCAAAGGTTAGGTTCTCTTTGTCCAATGCGTCAAACTTGTAGCTTATTCTTCCCTCCGATCTCACTTCTCCGGTTCCCTTGTCTTTCACCTATGATCAACAATAATATTCAATAGAACTCCAGAAAGAAAAGGAGATACATACACTATAGGATCATATCTACCATTGCAAATAAATGTGCAGTTCTTGAATACTTGAGCAATCTTTCCTTCATGTCCAAACCAGACACCCATGGCTGAAGTGTAGCGAACGATCCTGGCCCTAGGATTGGAGCTTCTATGATGGCTCTTGTATCGGACCCACCATCCCTCACTCTGTGCAATGACGTGATTATCCCTCCCTTGTAGTTTTTCCCCTTGATCTCCGAATTAGGCTCCGGGAAATACCCCCACACCATTAAAACCGGGTGGAGATGGAGATTCCTCCCTATGTTAGGGTTCGATAGCCCGCTTGAGAGCATTAATGGAGGTGTTCTAAGAGACCCACATGCTAAGATTGTGACCTTTGCCTTGATGCATATCTCCTTGTTGTCAAAACATGTTGCAATCACCCCCACACACTTCTTCTCCTTCTTGTCCCCTGTTTTCTGGGTTGTGTTCCTTTGGAGTAGACATCTCTGGGCTTTGCACCCCGTTAAGATCACGGCCCCACATTTCACGGCGTCAACCAGCCAAGTTACATCCGTGCCCTTTTTGTCCCCTCTTTTACAACCGTAGCAGCAAGAACCGCAGTAGTGGTTTGCGGAGGAGTTTCGTGGGACCCTCTCGACCGGGAGCCCGAGATTCTCGCACCCTTTCCTGAGAATCTTGTTCTGGAATCCCTCGTCGGAACAGCCCTCCGTTACGCCGATTCTTTGGCACACTTTATCCATGGCAGAAGTGTAGTCTTGGGTTGAGAAGAGTGAGATTTTGTGATTCTTGGACCATTCTTGGATTGTGGACTCTGGGGTTTTAATGCAGGCTGACCAGTTCACGGCGGAGCCGCCGCCCACGGTTGAACCCGCCAAGACTACAACTTTTCCGTCCAAGGTGGAGAGGATTCCTCCGTTTTCGTATAACTCGTTCATCGACGGCCCTTCAAGAGAAGAATAGTCAGACTTGGTAAAGTAGTTCCCTTTATCAAGAACTACCACTTTCTGGCCGGAGCCTGCGAGAACGGCCGCCGCCACAGCTCCGCCGCATCCGGAGCCCACGATCACAACATCACATTCAATGTTTATGTGGTTCTCTTTATGGTCTTCTGTCGCTGTTAGGCCTTTCTGGAGAAGAGAATTGAGCAAAGTAGTTTGGTTTTCATTTCTGGTTTCCACTATTCCTTTCTCGAGAGGTCTTTCTTCTTCTTCTGGTCTGTTTGACAGGTCTTCATTGTCATCCACTTTATATCCCATGGCTTCCCAAGTTGGGTTCTTTGAGTCTTCACCCACCTATGGGTAAAAACATTAAAAGAACATTCACTTAACCAGATATAAGGCTTGTTTTGTGAAAAAAATGATATGCGCTTTGAAATTTGAAATGAAAGATTTTAGTAAAACACTCCATTTGGAAAGGTTGTGATATCGGTAGATATAAAACTTATATCGTTTGTGCCGAGCAAATGGGCCCCAAATTAATACTATTCCGATGTACAAGTCAAAAAATTATATCGTGTTTTTAAACACAAATTAACGGCGAGTTAAATTTCAACTCTTACCAAACACGCGTTACAGATGGTTCAACAGTCTTACCAAACACGTGTTACAGATGGTTCAAGAGTGTGGTGGAAAGAGCTTGATCATTAATTACAATTGAACTAGAGTGCTAAGCATGATTTAATGCTGCTAAATGACATCTGTTTGTATTTTTCTATTTTTATCTACATAATAGAAATATTTTTCAGGTTTCCATTTATTAGTATGAGAAAAAATAGTAGTGATTCACATGGAAAGCCTTGAACAGTCGCATATGCACAACATTAAATGATGCAAAATTTAAAAAAATGGAAAATAAATTAATCTGGCAAAACTTGTAGAATCATAAAAGACTTGACCCGCTAGTGGGCGTTGCGCAGTTCACAAAGACAAGAAGTGCCAAGGGGATGAAATCCGAATTCAGTTCAATCTCTATAAATTCTAGGTGTATGCTTCACTCTTTACCACCAATTTGCGATTAAAATTCAATTTACTTCCTTTCAGTGATCGTCTAGCCGAATCTGAGAGGACTCTCGAGAATGGAGCTCATCCTTTATAAAAGACTTGATCCTTTGCATACATGAGTGACATGACTAGGATGATGTAGCCACCTGATGTTAATTGTTGGGCTTGGCAAATTATACCTTTGGAGAAATTTTGCAATACAATTTCTACTTCCATTTTTTCTTTCGTTTCCAAAAACACTACCACTTTCATTTAAAATTACCCTTTTACCTCTATTAATCATCAATTTATCAATCACATCATATCTATTCAATATGAATTTACCCATCACATTCCATCTTACCTCACTATAAAGTATCAACAAAACTAGAAAGTAACACCAAAATTGCACATTTTTTTAATCTCATGTTTTTTGAAAAATGAAAAAGTTTTATGAGACAGACGTAAAAAATAAATAAATATTAGCCACCACCTACCACCACCACCACCACCACCACCACCACCACCACATGGACAGATGATAGATATTTGATGAAGAGTGGGAGGTGCAGGGGAAGTAGCAGTACCATACCATACCATACCATACCTGGGTGAAGAAGACAAAGAGACAGATGAATTTGATGAAGACAAAGGCCAGTCTGACAGGAGTGAGAAGGGATCCATCCCTGAACCATCTCTGAATCACTCTCTCCCTCTTCTCCAGAGGAATGTTGGAGAAGGTGTTAATGAAAGGCCACTTCCTGTCAAAACTGAGCAGCCCACACACCACAAGTGTCCCCAACCTGGTTGAAAGGACCCTCAACAACCCTCTCATCAGCACCACAGCCTCCAAGAACCCCCTTTTCACCCCTATCTCTGCCACCTTCCCAAAACAAACAAAATATGCCCAGACGTAACTTAGCTGGTCAATAAAGCGGCAACAAAATATGCCCAGACGTAACTTAGCTGGTGCAAAATTCAACACAAACACAATTCTAAAGATGAGAAAAAATTCGAAATCAAGAAGGAAAAAAAAAACCCCAAGAATCAAGAAGATATTATTGTTGTCACCTCATCAGGAATGGGGTAGTGGGAGCCAGAGGCTTGACAGAAGTGAAGGATGGATTCTTGGGAAGCATCAAGATCACATCTTTTTGTTATTTCTTGGTGAGAATTATTGATGAGTGGGAGAGGAGGCAAAAGGGCTTCACAAATACTGCTCAGAGCTTCCATTTCTGATGAAGAGAGGCCATGACTGTACTTTGTCTCTCTTCTCCCTCCTCTTAGCAATGGATGCCAATTATTTCTCTCCATTTTTTTCTTTCTTTTCCTTCTTCAAAGATTCCTTCTGATCTGATCCTCTCTTTCTTTAATTTGTTTTATGAATTTGATTATTATAAATTTATATTAACATGTTGACAATTTATAGTGGGGGTGGTCTATTGTCTGTTTCTGCATGCACGAAAATAGAATAATTTTTTGGTATGTTTGAGTATATGGATTTGGATTTTAAATTCAGATTTAGTTCACATTCCGTGTTTGAAACTTAAAAATTTTGAATTTAGATTTGAGTCAAATTCTTCTCATTTACGGAGTATAACCAAGTTTAATTTGAAATCCATGCACTTTTCCTTTTCATTTGAAATTCAAGATTTCAATTTTGGAATTGAAATGTATGAATTGAAATGAAATGTTAGTTCTCAAACGTTATTTTAATGTATTTAAATAGACAATAAATTAATATGTGACACAATGAGAAATTCTTTTAACAAAAAAATGAGCATCGTGAAATATTAATCTTTAATATTGTGCAAGCTTTAAATATGTGTAAAAACTTAATATGCAAAATTAAATGAACCTTTTTAATATTAACAACAATGTCAATATTTTGATTGACTCAGCCTACATTCTAAGAATCTTAGAATCAAATTTAACCAATGTCAATTTATAAATTGACTCGAACTCTATAAAATCGTATTTTTTTTAAAGTTCTTCGATTGAATTATATAAAATTTCAACATGAAGGTAGAATATCGGTTAATGTTGTGCTGCTCACTTAAATCTTGGTCGTATGACTTTGTGGGAACAATATAGTCAAGTGGTCAAATAAAAACAACTTTGTATCACATTCACTAAAGAATTGAACAACTTTTTTGATAAAAATAAAATAGACTTGTCAGTAGTTATTTTGTAAATTTTTTTATATTTTTTTAAACACAGAAGTCGTATTTTTTAATTCTCTATGAATGTATAAATGAGAGGTAAAATTGTGTACGTTGTTAAAAAAGGACACATAATTTGAGAAGGAGTACTCTTTCCGTCCCAAATTAAATTGCACATTTACTTTTCACATGGTCAAACTTTATTGACTATCTTTTCCTATTTTCGTTAGCCATTTTGATAAAATAATAAAGTCATGTTACAACTAGTTTTGTAAATTTTTTGATATAGTTTTAAATATGTACAAGTAATTTTTATATTTTAGTTCTACACCATTTTTCATTTAAAATACTTTGAAAATAACTTCATTCAAATATCGTAAACCGAAACAAACAATTCAAATTAGAGAGAAGGAAGTACTACGTACTCCCTCCGTCCGGAAATATTCTTCCCGTGTTGACTTGACACGCTTATTAAAGAATAGTAAAAAAATGCAAAATTTTCAAAAATACACATACTATAAACTTTTAAATCTCCTTTTCTTACTAAAAAAGTATATTAGTGATAAAATAGAAGGGTATTATTAAAATTTATCCTTAAAAAGTATACTAAAAAAGGAAATGGGAAGAATATTTACGGACGGACCAAAAAGGAAAATGAGAAGAATATTTTCGGACGGAGGGAGTAGTATTTACTCCGTAAATTGTTAGGTGGAAGGAGACTAAATTTGTCTCATCTTTAATGTGTTTTGTGCATTTTTGAACCTTTTTTCCAAAAAAAGGTAGCCAAACGAGCACAATATAATTAGTAGAACGTGCATTTGACCCGAGTTTAGAAAGTGGTTAGGTGATCGGAGATTGAATCCACCCACCATTCACACCAAGTCCCATGTTCAAATTATTTGTAGAAAAATGCTAGGATCCTCTCCATCACCACAAAAAAAAAGCAAGAAAAATTCAAAAAAAAAAAAATAAAAAATAAAAATAAAATAAAATGAATGGTAAAGAGAGGGGTGGTGTACATTTGGGGTACACCAAAGGTGTACCCCTAGCATATCCCCTTATTTGGGTCAAATAGCGCCAGTATCCCCCGTGGTTTGCAAAATATGCACCAAAACCACCTCTGTTTTCAAAACTTATTTCTAAAGTCCTTGTGGTTTCAAAATGCTGCACTCGTGCCCTCTCTGATCATTTTCCGGCCATTTTTCCGGCAAAGATGAGGGGCATTACTGCATATTTACTAAACCACAGGGTGTATCGGTGCTAATATTTATTTCTCGCTTATTTTTTTGTTTTTTTCATTTTTCCTTTATTTGTTTCTTTTATTAATAAAGGTTTTTTTAAAATTATTTTTATAATGTTCATAAAATTTAAATTTATTTTTGTTTGAAAAAATTAACATATAATGTATATGTACTTCTCAAATCAACAATTTTTGTTTTTTCTGAAAAAAGTAAACTTTTTTTTGAGAACTTCAAAAAATGAAGAATAAAATAAGAAACAAAATAATAGAAAAAATAAAAATGAATCTTTTTCGAACATCTCAATTCTAAGGACTTTTTTAGGCTTGTCCATTTTTTTGGATCAGACTTTTTTTGTGTATTTTTATTTTTCATTTTTTTTCCATGTTTTTATTTTTTTATTCTAGGTTTTTCTTTTTGAACTTTCCAAATAAGTAAGTAACAAAAAGTGAAAATGTTTAATTTGAAATAGATGCAATGTATGTTAATTTTTATATTTTTATTTTTATTTCAAACACAAAAATTTTAAAATTTTAAAACATTATAAAAAATTGAAAATAAATTAGAAAAAAATCTAGGAAAAGAAAAAGGGATAGAAAATATTTAAAAAAATAAAGACACAAATAATAAATGAAAAATAAAAAATGAGCATGAATGCCCCTTTTGGTTTAAAAATTATGCGCAAATGTCCCCTCTTCGCCGGAAAATGGCCGGAAAATGATCAGAGGGGGCATAAGTGCAGCCTTTTGAAACCACGGGGACTTTAGAAGTAAGTTTTGAAAATAGAAAGGGTATTGGTGCCAATTTTCCAAACCACAGGGGGCACCGGAACTATTTGGCCCCCTTATTTGTAATGTATATCACTCTCACAAGTCACAATATTGCTTAAAATGACTATAGCTAGTCAAACATTATAGGCCACTATTTCTTCTTGACCCATGCTTAGGAATTCCACATTGAATTAATATAGAGCTATACCGAAATGAGTATTCTATTTGTACACCAAATCTCCATATATTCATACAGACAATATCGATCTGTACATGCATAGATATTACGTGTCTCAATGTCTGTATCTATCTTGATATACAAATGAGGTATCACATCTTGGTGTATCCCTAACATTGTCACGTCCTTCCACATTGTATTCCATCTTTGGCTCCAATTGCTTCCACAAACATCATAGATTGTCAGTCTCACACTATCACTCTGTCACGTTTCACTGCAACTGTACTTATACTGTTAGGATTTTTTAGGGTTTGAATTTGAGGTTTACAATAACTCAATTAGGATTTTTTTAGGGTGTGGCCGGATATCTAGATACTTGGTGTACCAAAAAATTCCGAACATTGTTTTACAAATAATGCACCAAAAAACGATGTTTGCAAATACAACATCCTACGTGTCTATGTTTACTTTGTATTTGGGAACCACTTTTGGACGGAAACAATAATTCACCTCTAAATGGAATGAACAAAAGAAATGAAAATCACATGATAGTGAAGGAAATATACACAAGATTGGTTAATTTCCTTTTTTAAATGGATGCATGCTCAACAATTATATAAGTTTACATTTTTGGATGATATATATATATGAAGTCATTTAATTACACGCTACGTTGTACTCTCCCTGTCCAGAAATGTACTTTTCATTTGACTTTTTCAGTCTCCAATATTGTACTTTGAATATTAAAAGTTATATTTATATATATATATATATTTTATAAAATTTTGATATTTCAGAACTATGTTTCATTAAGATTGTATTGATATTAAATTTATATCATAGTAAAATACTCCATATATTTGTTCTATAAATCGGATTCAAAATTTACAAATTTTGACAAAAAAGTCAAGTGTGAATAGCATTGGGAGAGAGGAAGTATTCTGTTTGTTACACTATTTTTTGAACATGAAAAGATGACATAAACTAGAAATAGAAAAAATTAACCAGCGAAAAAAAATGGGTCATGCTACACTTACACCACAAATTGTACCTCATTTGTACACCGCAGTTATACACAAACATTTTGATGGTTTACATCGACACAAGTGTTTGTGCGTTAACAAAAATTTACACGGACATAAAGTGTCGGTGCATTAACAAAAATTAGTTTTACACCAACACAAAGTGTCGGTGCAAACCTGCGGGTACAAAGAGGGTGTTTGAGAGTGTGGTAGATTATTGAAAAAGCAAAAATTTTAAGTTGAAGTGGAAAGCTGATATTTTTAGCTTAAGAAATCACCATACATAGCACTCTAACTCACCCTAAATTACGCATCTAGCACTACTCATTGTTTTTAACAAATTTAGCACATTTTTGGGGTCAATCCTTTCCTATCATGCCCTTTAACCTTTTTTCTTTTTCTCATTAAAAATTACGGCACTCCCTAGGCCGCACGTACTCTTCTTGCGCTCGGCCGCACGTTCTCCTTCAGTCGCCCGCCATCATGCGTCCTCAGGCCTTCTCCCACGATCTGGGCCGATCATCAGCGGCAATCATCAGGTTATCTCCGCCTCCTTCATCGATGTGGCTAATCATTTTCTCTTCTCCTTCAATTTTTAATTTTCATTCCTTCATCCCTTTCCATGTATTTTTAGTTTTAATTATTGTGTTTTATTCGTACTGAAGATTAGGTGGTGTGAAATCAATTTTGAAATACCTAGTATTTGTTCCTTTTGAAAAATTAGGTCTTTTGAAAGGCATTGTAATTTTGGCAGTGTTAAGATTATGTGCTATGGTGTGGGCAGTGTGAAGATTAAATGCCTAAATGTTGTCCTGCATTTTTAGTTTTATTTATTTCCTTAATCCTAAATATCTGAATTTGGTTCTTATCCTTAAAAAAATTTTGCATGTCAAAAAATTAAAAAATAAATTGACCTAAAATAATCCCACCTTTCATTTATTTTCTAAAAATATGTATTTTCAAAAAATCCTGTTTAGTGGTCGTTAGTTTTTTAACAGCG